TTTTTTTTTTTTTTTTTTTTTAGTATTCAATGAGCTGCTTAACAGGATTTCTTAGCCATTATCTATTCTAAAACTACTCTTCCTCTTCTATTATGTCTTTTCTTTTTAAGAGCTTGTTTTACGTTCAATGTAAAGTGTACATTTAGTTTCATTCCCCATTTACCATGTCCAACCCTAAACCCATCTCTCCTCCTCTCCCTATCCTGTAATTCTCCCCCTTTACCCCTCATATTTATGCATTCCTGTTTGCCCTGCATTTCCTCAATTTGAATGTTGGTCCTCTCGTGTCCCATGAACTATTGTTCTAAGGGATGTATTACCATAGAGTATATGGGTGCATCATCCTGAGTTGAGTGGTATAGATGCACATATTGTTTATTATTGGGCTGAGAGCCTGCCCCTGGGGTGTGCTTTATTCCAGGATCAGAATGTACTCCAGGGCCATAGTAGTGGGAGTCTCGCCACATTTCATCTGACCAGGGACAAATGTTTCTATAATTTCTAAAATCAAGTACAAAATAGATTTATTTATGTCATGTGATTGGACTTAGAAAGTGGGAATAGGGAGGAAGATTCATGTCAAAAGATTTGTATATCAGGTCCAATTCCATCCCTTCAATACAAAGATCCTAGTACAAGCAGAATGCCTAGACTATCACAGGCACACAGAATAAGCTTTTTGATTTATATCTACTGCAGTGTACAAAATCTAGAACATAATTGTCTATTTATGTTCTTATATACACGGCAGCTCACTCATCTTTATTATTTATTGATGCCTTCTGGGGAAGGGGACATTTTGTGCATCCCTTACCATGGTTGTATTGCAACGTGATGTCAATAAGGAGACTAAAAATTCCTGAAAAGTAGTTGAATAGGACAAGCTTGATGTAGGCAGTAGTACTTTCAGAATATAGAAAACTCATCAAGTACATGAGGGGAATGGCAGACCAGCCATACAGCATGAGGAGCATCATTGTATCTAGAGAATTGTCATCCATGACAAATACATCCACTTTGCAGTATTTTAATACTCCCTGAAAAAAAAGCAAGGTGAAGAGAAAGTGTGAATATAAATCAAGCCAGAATATTTAGAGAAGGACACCGGGAACACTGTCTTTATTTAACATAGAACTATTCATTACTTATCATTACTTTAATCTATTTGTCTCTTAAAAAATGCCTTAGCACATAAACATGAAATAAGTTATATCTACCTCTTTACCAGAGAACAGTAAGCAGAAACACTGTACTTTATTTTTTTCTTCTACTTGGATCAGTTTTATTATTTTATAAATTTACTAACAAAGTCAGTATAACAAAGGTGGCATTGGTGGTCTGAAGCTTCCCCAATAAACCTAACTCTCCACTTTCCCAGCAAAATAGATTATTTCTCTAAAGAGAGACTATTTATCTAAAGATATTCCCCTCTGGTTACTATAGTGGGGTATAACCTACCTTGCACTGCTACTTCCCTATAAATTTGGCTTCCTGGTTACATTCTATTTACTACCTGACACCACTCATATCCACCCAGCCTCTAACTTCATCTTTTTCAATTCACATTGACAACCAGACAATGTAACACAAAATTACAAAAAGTTGCTGTCAAGTTGACTCTTACTTAAGGTCAGCTCATGTGTGTCAGAGTAAAACTATGCTCCATAGGGATTTCCGTGGTGTGATCTTTCAGAAGTAGATCACTAGGTATGATGGCATCTTACTCTCTGACATACCAAGCCATCATTCTACAGTAAAGACATAAGAAACCAAGTGAAACAGATAGAGATGACAGTCTTGGAACCATGGACAGCAAATAGAATGATGAAGAATTAGAATTAACACTAAATGGATGAAGAAAATAGATAAAAACAGCGAACAAGGAGAAATACAGATCATAAGTACCATGCCACAGTGAAACCATTTGAAGACAAAGCATGCAGCATTCCTGGGTGAAAGTAACTTCATGGCATCCCCAATAGGAGAAAGATACAGTGTAGACAAATCTGGAATGAAGCAAGGTGCCATCTGTACCTCAGCCTTGTGATGAGCAGGAGTTCCTAATGCCTCTATCCAAAATCTACTTGGCTGCAGTGTCACACATTCCAAACCCAGACAGTTCTGGCAGGCTGACTGCATGTGCATTGAAAGCCCTTGATCACCTACCTTCTACTGAGACATCAGTTTATTCATTCAGAGAAGTCCTTCTCATCTACTTGTAAAGCACTCCCTCACAATGGCTACATACACATCCTACCCTGACCTCCAGAGGACACACTGACTGTTAGCATCAACCCAGATAGACCCCATGGTCCCACAAAGGCTGTGGAGAGAACTTGACCATGCAACACCTGTCATCCAATATCAGGGAAAGAACCTACTCTCCCACCACTCATTTTAATGCCTTGGAGACAGTGCACAATAACCAATCATATGAAGAAAAAGGATAAGAGGGCTCTAATAAGAGAGCCAAATAAAGGGGCAGAAAACCCTCTTGAGAAAAAGATGGTAATAGGACTACCTGGTAAGGAATTCAGGAGACTTATGTATAGAATCCTCAAGGAAAACACCAGCAATACAGACAAAACCCTAAAAGAATTCAAGGAAACAGAAAAAATGACAAAAAAAGACAACTTAGAAGGCATACAAAACAATAACTAGAATCCAGAAGATTGACAATAAAATATCAGAAATAGGTAACTCCATGGAAGGACAAAGAAATAGAATTGAATCAGTGGGAGAAAAAATCAGAAAACAAAGAGGATAAATCCCTTGGTACTAATTTGTTTGAAGAATAATCAGATACAAGAGTGAAGAAAAATGAAGAAAGCCCAAGAGTTATGTGGGACACTATTAAGAGGAAGAATTTATGTATAAATGGAATTCCAGAAGAGGAGGAGAAAATAAAAGCACAGAAAGAACTTTTGAAGATTTATTGACAGGAAATTTTACTAATATCATGAAAGACAAGAAGATTCCCATCCAAGAAGCTCAATGAGCTGCCACATACAAGATAGACCCTAAAAGGAAACCACCAAGACATATCATAATTAAACTTCATAAAAATAAAGACAAAGAATCTGAAAGCAGCTCATGAAAAATGAAACAAACCCTTCAAAGAGGCAACAATAAGACTAAGCAGTAATTTCTTAGCAGAAACCATGCAGGGAAGAAAGCAGTGGGATAACATATATAAAGCCCTGAAAGAAAATAATTGTCAACCAAGAATCATATACCCAGCAAACATTCTCTCAAATACAATGATAAAACTAGGAAATTCCAAAATAAATGGAAATTAAGGAATTTGTAAGAACTAGGCCATGCTTACAAGAGATGCTAAAGAGAGTCTTTTGGGCAGAGAATGAATGAAAACAGACAACAACCTGAAATCAAGACACATGACAGCAGCACCAAGCTACCAACCCAAACAAAGAATGCTCAAAAGTGAAGTAAAGATAAAAAACTGAAAACATGGAATGAGAATTGTAAATCTGTAAACAATGACAACTTCAAAACAAAAAGAAGGAATAAGTGTTGTATAGTTATAGAACTTCCATATGCAGAATTCAAGGCAATGTCAAGGTATAACAGACTTTTTAAACTTAAGAAGATAAAAGTAAATTTTACAGTAACCATAAGGAAAATGAATAAATCTACTCACCAAAATAAAGAAGAAAAAAATTAAAAAGGTTTAGTAAACACAAAATCAACAATGATGAATATGAAAATAAAATCCATAAACAAAAATATCTCAGGTATAGAAAGTAAAGCATAACAAAGAGATCATTAACACCACACAAAAAAAGTCATAACAACATGACAGCAGTAAATTCATACCTACTGATAACCATGCTGAATGTGTGATTATGCAGCAGTCAAAAAACAGAGAGTGGCAGAATGGATTTAAAAAATAATAATAATAAAAAAGACCCATCAGCATGTTGCCTACAAGAGACACACCTTACACACAAAGACATAAATAAGCTAAAAATGAAAGGACGGGGAAAAACTCAAGCAAACAGTAATCAAAGGAGAGCAGGAGCAGCAGGACAAATTCTGATAAAATGGACTTATAGTCAAAATCCATTACAAGAGAAAAAGAAGAGAATTATATGATGATTAGAGTGTCAGTCTACCAAGAGCTTAGAAATTATTTATATACCCAATGACATAGCTCCAAAATACATAAACTCTAACATAATTGAGAGGTATATTTCTACAATGATAGCAAAAAACACTGCTGGCGAAGGCATATGAGCTGAATGTCTATGTTAGGTAGATACACTCCTTGGAGAGAACAATCATGGGAGAATAGAAGTGCTGTGTATGCACAGGGAGACAGCTCAGGGGGCAGGAGTGCATGGGAGGTAAGGACACAGGTAAGAGGTAACTGTGGGGAGGATGTGGGAGGGAAGCTGTTGCAGTGGGAAATGCAGTCAATGTCATGAATCAAAGTGTACATGAGCTGTGATATGGAAAGTGAATTTGCTCTGTAAACTTTCACCCAAATCATTACCAAAAAAAAAAAAAAAAACCTCTGAAAAACCACTGCTGTTTGGTTGAGTGATTCTGACTCAAAGCAATCCCTACAGGCTTTCCAAGGCTGTAAATATTTATGGAAATAGATTGCAGTGTCTTCCTCCTGTCCAGCAGCTGGTGGGTTTGAACCACTGCTCTTCTGTTTAGCAGCAAATGCCTTACCCACTGAACCACCAGAGCTCCTTACAGTAATAGTAGGAGATTTTAATATATCACTTTCAATGATAGACAGAGCAACTAGAAAGAAACTCAACTAAGATACAGAAGATCTAAATAGCAGAATCAACCAACTTGACCTCATAGACCTATACAGAACTCATCATTAAAAGAAGCATATAGACATATAGAGAACTCATCATTCAAAAGCAGCATAGTACACATTCTTTTCAATGCACATGAATCATTCTCCAGAACAAACCATATTTTAGGCCAAAAAGCAAGCTTCAATAAATTCAGAAACAGCAAAATTATAAAAAGGATTTTCTATAATCATAACACTATAATACTAGAAATCAATAACAGAAATAACAAAAGAAAAAATAAACACATGGAAATGTAATAACACTTTGCTTAAAAACTATTGGGTAATAGAATAAATTTGAAATGAAATTTTAAATTCTTAGGTTCAAATGAAAATCAAATCACAACTTACCAAAACCATTGAGATACAGCAAAAGCAGTGCTCAGAAGAGAATTTATAGCAGTAAATGTACACATTAAAAAAGAACAAAAGGACAAAATCAATAGGTTAACCTTACAACTTGAACAATTAGGAGAGGAGCAGCAAAAGAAGTCCATAGTCACCAGAAGAAGTAAAATAATAAATATTAGAGCAGAAATAAATGCAATAGAAAACAATAGAGTCAGCAAAACTAGAAGCTGGTTCTTTGTGAGGATCAATGAAATTGATAAAACACTGCCCAAATTGAAAAAGGAAAAAATGAGAAGATGCAAATAACCAAAATGAGAAATGAGATGGGTAACATTACAACAGAACCAACTGAGACTAAAAGAACGTTTTTAAACAGAATATTATGAAATGTTATACTCCAACAAATTTGAAAAATTTGAATGGACAGATTTCTACAAACACACTACCTACTTAAACTAACAAAAGAAGAAGTAGAAAATTTGAACAGTCTCATAACAAAAGGAGAGGTTGAAGAGGTCATAAAAAATCTCCCCTCCAAAAAAGACACGGGCCTAGATGGCTCCACTGGAAAATTCTACCACTCAGAGATGATGTTGTTGTTGTTGTTGTGAGAAGCTATCGAGTCAGCTCCAGCTCATACTGACCCTAAGTGCAACTGAAGGAAAAACTGCCTGGTCCTGCACCAGCCTCGCAATGCTTGTTGTACCTGAGCCCATTGTTGCAGCCACTGTGTCAATGCATCTCATTGAGGGCCTTCCTCTTTTTTGCTGACCCTCCACTTTACCAATCATGATAGATATCCTTCTCCAGCGAATGATCCCTTCTGACAACGTGACCAAAGT